CTGCCGGCTAACAGTGTGACTTTCACAGAATAAGGCTATAAAACATTTCCTAGGATGTCTGTGTTTTCCCTGTCAACTGGCTTCATAAAAAGTACTGAAAAAATTTAAACCACTTCTAAAACCGCAGTCTATCTCATTTTGATGTGTTTTAAATTCCTTATCCCTAGAAATGCAAATACCAGGTGTAAAAATACTTGCTTGCTTTTGCGACCCCCAGCCTGATAAATGAATCTTTGCATAGTCTCTTTGAGTTACAGATAGGTTTGTATAAATTTTCGAGCATGTATAAAAAAGTTCCTTCCTTTTTTATTTCTGTCATCTACTTTGTTATATTCCTCTGCCTCACATTTAAGAGCTCTGGCTGTAACCACCTACTCTTGCCTGAGATCGGTCCTGTCATGACTGCTTTTATCAAGTGATGAAAGAGACCCCCTCAAGACACATTGATAAGGGGTGCAGCCTAGAGGTGAGAGACTGTTATTATACAATCACGGAAGCAATCAGTCATAGCTCCAGGAGCCTGGGACCAGAAGGCAAGCCACAGTGTCTCTTGCTCCCTCTTAGAGTTACTTACTGATCATCTACTGTGTTCTTACTGATGAACCCGGACGGCGGTGGGAATGGCATGTCACTAGGGCTTTGCCAAAAGAAGTAAATTCATCAAGAAATTACATCTGATTATTTCAGCTCTGGGGTAAATATTTTAAGAAGTGAAATGTCACGTTTTGTAGAATTTGAGCCTTCCTTGATGATCTCTATATTGGGTACCTTTTCTTACATAATATGACGTGTATATCAGAATCAGATTGCGTGTGAATTTTTATCATTTGCACGTATTCATTTGTTTTCTCTGCAGTACTTCATTTTTTTTTCTTCCAAATATCATGTGCCACAGTTTAGTTCTTGAAGTAGTTTTAAACACCACAGCCAGAGCCCTTTAAAATACACATGTGGAGGTACTCGCTCTACACAGGTATGTTCCCAGTAGTGTTGCTCAGTTACGGAGGCCTGGCGTGGGCCTCTGATTCGCTGTGGCTGAGGTAACAGATGGCAGTGAGCTACCAGGTGTCGGTACTGGGAACCAACCTTCAGTCTTCTGCAAGATCAGCACATGTGCTTAATGGATGGACCATCTTTCTGGGCCCCTAGCAGCTTTTTCATGATTATTTTCTGGGGTGGGTAAGGTTTGTTTGTTTGTTTGTCATGACAGTTGTTTACATCTTCAAAGAACAACAAGCTTTGTCGTGCCTTGAACACCCTGGTGACTTGAGCAGGCACTGCCTCCTGGCCAGGATGGACAACACTGCCTGCCAACCTCCCCTTGACTGACCTCAGGAGAATTTATTCTTTTTATAAGACACTAAATGAAGGTTTCCGAATACAGAGGCATCGGTAGAAGCTTTTTAAACTTTATATTCCACTGAAAGTGGTATTTAAACACTACCAGGTCCCGTGTTTCCTTCTCACTTCTTTGTCACGGGAGGTCCTTGACTTATTTCATAAGTCCATTAAGGATGCACTTGCATGGCCTCCCAAGGGGTCTGATTGCAATACTTAGTCAGAATTGACGTTAGTGGCTCTGAATCCAAATGTGGACTTGGGTGCACATCGTAGCTCGTTTCTTGCATGGCTGTGGAGAGGTCTCAAGACTCGTGGAGAGAGGAGGGGAATAGTGTTTGGTAAGGGCTGGCTTGGGTTTGGTGGTTGGTATTTTTCCAAGTGGTATGGTTGTTTAGTTATTGGCTACCTCAGAGAGCACGGCGGATACACTGTCCTATCCCCTTTGTAAAAGGACTGGGCAGAGAGATTTGTGTAGCCGAGTGTCTGCTGCAGTAGATGTCATTGCTCCGTCCCTATGAGATGTCTTTAGAACCTGATGTAGGGGCTAAATCAAGCCTTTTCTCTTTTCTTGCCTTGTCTTGGGAGGTTAATCAGGAAGAATCTTTTAAAATTCTCAAATAGTAAACTTGTTAAATTTTTCTTGATTAATAGCAAGGTACAAGGATTGAAATTTTTCTGTGAATTTGTTCATTACCTTTTAATGTACTTAATTATTTTGTAAAATTCAGTTGACCTAAGATAATGCATGTATTCCTAGTTCAAGTTCACCTCAGCTTCTTACTTACAATAATTATAAAACTTCTATGAGCTAGACATTGGTGTTTGTTGAAATACAGCAGTGGGCATAATTGGAAGAAAGAAAGTTTCTGCCCTTTTAGTCTTTTGGAGTGGAAATTGACATTGAACAATGAATCCAGCTCTGTAGTGTGCGAGAACACTATTAAATGCTAGTCTACCGGCATCAAGCTGGGAAGCAGGTGTGAGCTTTTGGGAGTCGAAGCTTCACTGAGGAGGCGCCACATGAGAAATAACCAGCAGAGAATGAGGGCTATGATCCTGTGTTATCAGGAGAGAGAGCTCTAGACCCAGAGAACAGCAAAGGGAGCCACCCTGAGGTAGGGACAGCAAGAAGGCAGTGTGGCTGAGCTGAGTCAGCCATCTTGGAGAAGGAGATTATTAGAGAGATCTTAGAGCCGTGTTATCACTTAGAATTTTTTTCCTGGGCCAACAAAAAAGCCATCAGTGGATTTTGAGTAAAGGAGCTCACTGCGATGTGCATCTTATCAAGAAAGTCCTTTTGTTGATGAGAAGTGGTATAGAATGAAGTCCATTTAGATGGTTCTCAGCGAGTCAGAGAGCGATAGATGGCCCAACAGACCAGAGGCAGTGTGGGTGGGGAGAGCGGGTGAGGCGGTTGGAAGACGGAAGCACAGCTCTCTTGCTTGTAAGACTGTGAGGGAAGCAGCTTTGGGGATGAAGGAAGAGTGGTGGTTGTCAAGAGCCCAGGTGGAGACATGCTAGCAGCAGCTATCCTTAGGTAGCTAAGGTCTAGGGTGGAGACCTGAGCTTGGGATTCATGATTACGTCAGGAACACTTCAAATCCAGAGAACCATGGGGTTGCCAGGAGAATGAACGTAGACACTGAAATGGATTACACATATGGAGAACCCACAGGTGTTCTTCAGGAGATGAACGGCAAAGAACAGCAAAATGGAGTAGCTGTGGTGTGGGTCTGTGGAGAGTAGGGAGTGTGGCATCCCAGGGGTAAAGCGAAGTTTGGATAGCGGTGTTCTTCTGTGCTTAGCGCCGCACAGGTCTAGTCAAGGAGTTTGTTACGTGACTATCACTTATGGTCAAGTTTGATGTTTTTTTGTTTTTTTGTTTTTTTTTTTTAGCAAAAGTGTTAATGGATCTAAAGTTTGGAAAATTTGAGTTTTAGGTACTCCGGTACAAACTAGGAGATTGAACTATATATATGTGTCTGTGAAGTAGAGATGGTGAAGCACTTGCCCAGGGGGCATCAGCCATCCTGCTGGGTGATGCTTGTCTTAGGGTCCGCTGACAGTCACCTGCTGTGGGGCAGGCGACCTCAAAGGGATTGCCTCTCTCTTTCTCTCTCTCTCTATATGCCTGTTTGTCTGTCTGTCTGTCTGTCGGTAGATCTAGCTAGCTGAGAGAGAGAGAGAAAAGTAGACAGAGTCATATGTTTCAAGCTGCCTTTCAGCCTTCACGTGTACAGTGTAGCACACATGTATTTGTTAGACAGGTATGCACGTACACATGTACATACAGTACCCGCATGCACCAAGTAAGTGTAAAAACAAATTGAAAGAGCTGGCTCACATCTATGATTTTTTGGTACTAAGATATACATGAAAAATGTAAAAATCTACATGTCATATGGAAGTAGAAAGGAGGCCATGTGTGAAGGGGATGTGTATTCATGTGTGTATGCATGCTTGCATGTATATCGCTATGTATGTGTGTTTACATTTTTAAACCAATCAAATATTTTATTTGTTGTGGTTTTCAGCCCATGCTATTTTTAAATAGCATGCATGTATTAGCTACAATTATGATGTTCTTGAATAATGTGTTTTAGTTGATTCTTCTCCCCCATCCTGTCCTCTTTTTAGCCGAGTCACCTTCACCTCTCCTTATGGCAGCCTTTCCGGTCTCCTTTCCAGTTCAAACCATGTCGATTTTTCTTACATGTTTTTCATGTATGTCTTCATACCGAGAAACATAGATTGAGTCAGCTCTTTAATTTTGTTTTATATTTGTGTGTGTATACGTGTGCATGTATGCCTGTCCCACAAATGCATGCGTGCTACGTTGTACTTGTGGAGGTCAGAAGGCTTGCAAAAGTCGGTCTCTCCTTCCGCCGTGTAGGTCCCGGGAGTCTCTAACTCAAGTCATTGAGCTTGGCAGTAAGAGCCTTTACCTGTTAACCGATCTTGGGACCCTAAGTCAGCCCTTAATATGCACTTCTCTTCCCTTCCCTTTTCCTTTGTGTGTCCGCGTACGCGCACATTCCCCTATTCATGTGTGTGGGAGAAGTTAGTGGTAGGTATCTTTTATTCTGCTCCACCTTAATCTTTTGGATACAGGGCCTCCCACTGAATCCTGAGCTCATCAGTTGGTTTGACTGGCTGCCCAGGGGGACTTGATCCACTGGTTTCCTCTCCTCGCCCCCACACACACTGGGTTTACAGATGTGGGACACCATGTGTGGGTTTTAAGTTGATGCTAGAGATCCAAACTCAATGCCTCACGCTTCTGCAGCAGCACTACCCTTTGGCCCACCTCCCCAGCCCCTTCCCAGTGTCCTTTGCATCTAATAATTTTTCCAGAATTTTCTTCCAAAATTAGCTTTTAATTATGTCCCTTTGAAGTCTTGAACAGTGTAGTTTCTATGTCAGCCCCATCCTGGGCTATCTTTTTTTTTTAAAAGAAGGGCCATTTGTTTTGTTTCTTTATGTGTCCCTCTCCTTGTCTACCGTCTGTAACACGGCAGATGCTGCACAAATACTTTCGGATGAAGGCCTTTGTGGTTCATTTTTGTATTTGACATGTTTGCCGTGGAGGTCAGGGCCGTGCCTGAAGTTTGCGCTTGATTGCTAAATATAGGATTCTTTGGCCATTTTGTTTCCTACAGAATTCCACGGATGGGATCATGATGAGGACAGGGTCACTGCAGCTCAGTAGCTCCTCAGGAACTTTGTCTCTGAAAAGAACAAAGCGAAAAGCACCTGCCCCACCTTCGAAAACGCCTCTGCAGAACGATGACAGCAGCCCTGCGTCTGATAATGGTATTCTCTTGTGTACAGTACATTGGCTTTGGCTTTGTGTTCTAATACAGTCAGTAAAGCAGTGAGACATAACTTTTTGGTTTTCCCCTTTCTGAACAGGCTTTCACTATAGATCCATGGCTAGCCTAGAACTCCCTAATCAGACCAGGCTGGCCTCAGACTCAGAGATCTATCTGCTTCTGTCCCTGAGAACTGAACTGGAACTTAAGATGTGCACTTTACATGCGCTCTCTCTTTCTCTCTCTTTCTCTCTGTCTCTCTCTCTCTCTCTCTCTCTCTCTCTCCCTCCCTCTCCCTCTCTTCCTCCCTCCCTCCCTCCCTCCCTCCTCAATCAGACCAGGCGGGCCTCAGACTCAGAGATCTGTCTGCTTCTGTCTGTCCCTGAGAACGGAACTGAAATTTAAGATGTGCACTTTGCATGCTGTCTCTGTCTCTGTCTCTGTCTCTCTCTCTCTCTCTCTCTCTCTCCCTCTTTCTGTCTCCACACATACACACTTCTAAAATAGCCTAATTATTATTGCTTAAGTGCTTCTGGAAAGTCTGCAATGAAAAATGGCAAAATTATACCACTTCATTATCGTAACGAGTGTGCGAACAGTGTGCATATATTAACTCAGAAAATACTGCAATTCCAGGTTTTACTCCATAGGAATGGGGATGGAGGGTGGGGTGCATGTAGTCATTTCACAGTTGTGTGGTTTAAGTTGATCCTTCCTGGATTAAATGATAGCAGAAAATTCCTCAGGAGTCATTTCTCATCTGAGTATGACTTATTATCGGTTCTCTTGCATCTTTCAGCCCTGCTTTCAGAAGATGGAGTTGCTCCAGACAGCGCTTTGGAAGCAGACTCTCCTGAGGTGCTGTCCAGCCTAGGTATGACCCCCATCACTGCACACTGCCATTGTGAAGGAAAGAAATGTCTTGACAGTTGGGGAATAAATCTAACCGGAATGCTCCTCGTATCGAGACATTGGAATTCTTTGGCCTCTTTTCGCACTTTCGGTCTATGAAACACATCCTTTGTTGCCTCTCCCGAAGATTAGACACCAGGATAAGAAACTGGCAGAGATAAAAGTTCCAGTTCTAGAGCTGGACCCTGAGTGCTCACTCTGATTTCCTTACGCGCTATCTAGTGGACAGTTAACAGCCTCCTTCTAGGTAAGCACACACACCACAGTGGGGAGATTCTTAAAGTTCAGCACAGTCTCTTTCAACAGCTGCTTTGGGTATGAATTCAGCATTCATACTGTCCTACTTTAATGATGAATTACTTTTTCCCATGCAAATACTTTCCACAACATAGCCCACATTGTGGGTTCTCCCCAAGTAAATGAGGTTAAAAATAATAAAGACAGTTCGATCTGTTTTTAATATTTCACTAATAACTACTTAGTATAGTAGCTTTTATAAGAAGGACTAGGAACGGCCTGTAGTGATGCGCATCAGGAATTGCAGCACTTGGGAGGCTGAAGCGGGGAATCCATAGTACCAGACCACCCTGCCTTAGGAAGGAAAGAATACCTCAAGTACGTTAGCATGGAGATGCTGCCAGATGTGAGTACCTAGATTGTCCCATTTATATTCACAAAGTTGAATGAGTTTGGGAGTCGCTGACATTGAATCTTGACTCTTACATGGTACTTAGGAATTTGAGATTTTTAACTTGTAGAAGAATCCTATTTATGGTTTAAGACATTAGTATTTTATAAATAGTACTGCTTTTTTTTCCCCTTAGAACAGTCTCAATAATACCATCTCATTCCACAGAGGAAATGTACCAGAGATTGTTGTCAACATAAAATATATCGTGAAATTGGAAGGTTCTGCAGTTTTGGAAAGATGGGCAGGCTCCTCAAACTTTGTCCCATGTCTGTTTCTCGCTTTCCCTTTTCAGAGCTACTCCATGGGCAAATGTGAGCTAACAGCACTGACGTCCCACTGCGTCCTGATGTCTGCTTGCTTTGTTTTTTAACTCTCTTGTCTAAGTGCCATTTCCACAGACTCTCCTTCTTTGGCAGATGGCTCCCCTGGCCCCCGGTTCCTAAGCCAGGAGCAGTGTACTGTGCCCAAGCCGGCGGATGAACTCTCGCTCTCTGAGGGCCCTGGAACTCCAGAGGCAGCTGTAGCATCCTTGACGTGTAGGTGCTCAGGCCCTGACTGGCTGTGGCTTTGGTATATGCAGAGGGAGGTGCCGTTGAGTAGAGATCAGATATTACTTATTATACTCTGTAAAACCTTTCATAAGTAAGTAAGTGTCTCTGCCTTTGTGCAGGTTTGAAATGCACGGTTTTCCTTCACTGTCTAAATAAGCAGGGCAAATCTGGAGAGGAGTCACTCAGTGGCTCTGAGGATCACTTTGACTTGTATTTGGTTTCCGACTGTTCGAAAGGGCTCCTTGGACTTGTATTATCTTCCGTGAACATAGGAGAGACTATTTCCAAATACTCTTTATTGAACTTCCCACGTGAGCTGTGTGACTACTCATTTTCTCTCAGTTATTCTCAGATGCTTTTTCTCTTTTAAAAGTAGGATTATTTTGTTTTAGGATAGAGCAACTTTATAATTGCATAATATTTGGATCTCCTTGTAAATGTACTCACTTTTTAATGACTCAAAAAAAAGCCCCTCATCATTTCAATTGAGTTGTTTAAAAATAGTACGCTGTCACATGCTCCTTGTGATAGTGTAGAGTTGTTTGTGGACTTTGGCAAACAGTTTGATGAGAAGTGTTTGGGGTGGTGGTGGAGATTCATGCCAGGCATTCATGGTAAGGGAGCAGGGGTCTCCCAATTTGCTATTATTAAATACCCTTTAATGATATTTATAATGGTATAAGTTTAAAATGAAATGTGAACATTCATTTTTCATATATGATCAACAAATATAGCCATGGGTATTTTTCAAGACAAATTTAAGCCAGGACCTTCAGTGTTACAGCTTCCATCATGGTAATTGTCTCCAAAGGGGAAATTACCCAAGTATTTCTAAGCTGTAAAATAGACAATTAAGTTTGAACTCATCCATAGTCATAGTATGGGGCTGACTAGAAAGAGGAGTGTGTTTAGGATTGGTTTAATAGAGCTGTATTTTTACCAGAGGCACAGGATCTGTCAAACAAATTTTCCATTTTGATGATGACCAGGAAAAACACATGAATCTAAAAAGATATATTTAAATGTTAAGTTTAATAGTTTCACAATTCAAATGCAGCAAACACTTTCCTTGAAATATTAGTTGCATTTCATCTTCATATGTTTCAAACTTATTAAATTCAAATTCCTTAACTTCTTTGTGAGTAATCAAATCTCAGTGAAGGAAAGAGTCAGCTGTACTAACCACCAGCACTTTTCCCCCCTTTCTTTCTCTCTCTCTCTCTCTCTCTCTCTCTCTCTCTCTCTCTCTTTCTTTCTTTCTTTCTTTCTTTCTTTTTTCTTTATTTTTCTTTTGAGACAAGGTCTGTAACCCAAGCTGGCCTGGAACTTTCTTTGTAGACCAGGCTGGCCAGAAACACTTAGAGACCTACCTGCCTTTGCCTCTCCAGGACTGGGATTTAAGGTGTGAGACACCACTCCCAGCTCATATTGTTTTACAAAGATCAGAAGTTGACAGACGTTCCTGTCTAACACTAAAATTCAACTCCCGGTATGGTGTATGGGTGGTCTGTCCACTGGAGCAGTGGTATACGACCTTACTGCCTTCTCTCCAGGTTAAATTAAGCTTCACTCGGATACTGTCATGTAAATGGAAATGTTCGATTTGTTTAAGCAGAAGTCTTGAGCCTCATGGGTAGTTTGACTTTCACAGTTAATGTTGGCAAGGACAGTGAGCACTTTGCTGCTGGAATGTCTCCTTTCTTTTTGACCCTGCTGCCTTTGGTTGTTGGCAGTAAGAAATAATGATAGAAAGAGATTCTTGTAGGATGAGATATTATCCAAAACCGTTGTGACGGGCCGCACACATATACGTATCGGTATGGGATAAGATTTAAATATAGTAAGTGGTGGGGGCGGCTTTAGAACATTGAGTGTAACATACTTGATTTTACGTTAAGCTGAGATGAAGAGAAGTAATGTGAGTGTGGCTGCCCGCTTGTGTGTGTGTGTATACGTCACACTTTCTGGAACACAGAAGAAAGTGTCAGAGGAAGTTGCTTCAGCTAGATGTAGTGGATTGTGCCTGTATTTCCCAGCACTCAGGGGTAAAAGAATTTGAGGCCAGCCTGGGAAACAGAAGATTCTACCCTTAACAATAAAGGAAAAATGAAAGGAAACAAGCAAGAGACCCCAAAACGACAACAAAAGCTGAACCTGGGTCTGCTGCTTCAGATTTGTAATTCTAGCTACTCCAGAAGTTGAGGCAGGAGGATTGCACGTCTAAGCCTCCCTGGGCTACAGAGCCTATTCAAGACCAATCTGGGAAACTGACTGAGAAAAATATTATAAAATGGCTGTGCACATAGCTCCGTATGTAGCAAAGTCTTACCCAGGATGTGTAAAGTTACAGGGCTAGTATTTCATATCTAAGAGGAGAAAAAAAAATCTTGAGTGAGAATAAAAATGAATTTGCAGTATTTGATCTTTGTTTTCCTTTATTAAACAATACACTAAGCAGTTAGATAAGTGACTCTTAGTATAAATTGCACATTAGAAACTCTTAAAGAATTTTCACAATTCTTGACCCCCCTGCCGTAGGATTCTAACTTAGTAGCAGAATGTATGTGAGCATCAGGACTTCTAAAGGAGACCCAGGTCCTTGTAACTGCAGTCAGTGCTGACACCTGCTGAGGCAGTCTGAGGGCATACTAGTAGGCAGTACAAAACTGTTCTATTAATCTGAGTTTCAAATTGCTAGTTTGTTTAATTCACATTATTATCGCATGCCTCTAAAGTTACCTAATCGAAGGTATTGATTTCTAAATGCAGTTCTGCGACATTTGTAAGATTCACCTTCCGTGACAAAAGCCCAGAGTGATAGAACGTGGTTCTAGGATGACATCCGTGTAAGATGGTCTGCTTCTATGAAAACATCACCATTCATCATTAGAAAAATATTCCACTGTTAGTTTGGAGCCACGTTTTAAAATGCTAGCTAATTATTATTATAAACACCCCCTCCTTGCGAGATTGCCTATGATGAAAAGGGCCGGTTACTATTTAGGATTGTATCTGCGTTTCTTGGTAGCTGGCGTGAGCTCTGATTATAGTCTTGAGGAGATCGATGAAAAGGAAGAACTGGGTGAGCCATCCAAAGATCAGGCGGGAAGTGGTTCTGTGAAATCGCCTGACGTCCCTTCGGAATCTACTGATAGAATCAATTCGTTGGAGAATGATCCTGACTCAGCCCTCAGCCTTAGTGATGGAGAGGCCTTGCCAAGCTCCAAGGGACGAAGCCAAGAAGGCAGAAACACAGAGGGAAAGTAAGTAGTTACTAAGCCATGAGTGGTGGTGGTGGTTTGTGTGGTTAATGTTGTTGTTCTGAGAGAAAACTGGTATTTTCAGCTTAGCTATGATTGACCATTTTGTTTAGAGTCTATCTCTCCTACTATCTTTGGAAATCCTTATTAATAAGGTAGCAAGCTACATGTAAGTATGTTCAAATGAAACCCAACTCAAGAGTCATAGTACCCCCCATGTCAGGAAACCATCACATATAGTTAAAATGTTTCTGTTTGTTTGTTTATTATCTGTTTGACCCAAATAAAGCATTGAGTTTTGACTTGGTACTGAATGCATCTGAGGGTTTTTCACTACCTGGACCGTGAAAATGCTCCACAAATTAGAAGTAGACTAAGCCACCAGCGCTGTTTAGAGTCAAGTCTGAGATGCAAGCTGTACTGTCCACTTGATGCAGGAATTTTTTTAAAACGCCTCTAGTCCACTAATCCTGTGTTTGAATTTCAGTGTTGTGCATAAAGATGAAATCAAACAACCAACATAAGCTGTCTTCATTAGAGCTTTACCAAATTCGTGTGGGATTGTGTCCAAATTAAACTCTTTAGTCAGCAAAAAAAATTAAAAAAAGTCAGTGAGGTCAGCTCACATCCTGATTTAGGCAGTTGGTTCTGCCAGATGCGAGACTAAAATGTTCCCTTTTGTTTCCTTTTCTTTAAAAAAAAAATCGCTCCTGACAGCTAAGTAAAGACATTCATTTGGAAGACATTCATTTCACCAAGCCTCTCGCATCTTCCTTTGCAGTAGGGCAAGTGTACTGAAGCCAATGTTTCATGGCAGCATTTCCTCTGTTATATTTTTCTTTGCTCTCAGAGTTCTAATATTTGGCAGAAAAGGGTGATTATTTCAATCCATCTGTCTTTGAAAGAAGTATTGCCTGTTTTTTTTTTTCATGGTGTGTTTGAATAACCTCCACATATCGTATACAATGACGTGTCTTCCAGAGGGCCATATAATCCTGTCATAAATGATATGAACAATGAAGACACAGTATCTGACCGTATTAGAGACTTGAAGACATTGGAACCAAACCAAGAGCATGGTGAGTGTTAGAAACCAATACTGATGGCCAACACGATGTCATAGACTATCCTTAAAACATGTTGAGTAATATTTTTTATGCATTGGCTCCTTTCATATCTCTCATTTATGAATATTTTGAGAACTGTTACTCTTAAAGATACTGTCTCACAGTTAGTAAGTGGTGGACCTAGGATTTGAACATGGACAGCCTAATTCCAAAGTGGGCTCTTAGCTGTCATGTCTGAGCCTCATGATGTTGTTCCTCCTTTGGATGCTATTGATTTAAATCTCAGGTCTTAAAGTTGTGTTCTTCTGTGCATCTTTTCTGTGACCTGAGTTCTCTCCATTCCCCAGTGCATGTTTTTACTTCATACTCAAATTGCCACACTTCAGATGGAACTTGCCTGCCTGATGTTCAAGCCTTATAAGTAGGCAGCATCATTTGCCACCATTTCCCCATTCTTTTTCTTTTTTGTAAGGTTTATTTATTTCTTATGTATACAACAATCTGCCTGCATGCCAGAAAAGAGCACCAGATCTCATTATCAATGGCTGTGTGCCACCATGTGGGTGCTGGGAACTCAGGACCTCTGGAAGACCAGTCAGTGATCTTAACCCCTGTGCCATCTCCCCAGCCCCATTTTTCCATTCTTACACCCAAATTAAGGCAGTTTTATTTTGCTCATGATGTTATTGGCTTACCTCTGCCAATTGGTGTAGGATCATGCTGTTCTTGTAAAATGCTTCCATTGACTTCATCCATTCTGTTCCTATTGATACCTTCTTCTGTTTTAACTTTGTTACTTGATTACTGCAAGCCATGCACTTCAGTATTCCTGACTTTCCAGACAAGTCACACATAGATCAGGGACCTGAACCTATGACTTTGTAGCATATAACAAAATACCAAGGCACTTAACATCAACATAGGATTGAACTTCAAAACAGAATAATGCTCAGGAGAGAATTCAAAGAACGTGTAATAATACATTTTAAGAGAATGAGAGCAAAGGTTTATGAATGTTTATTGTCCAGTCTGTGTCAAGTGAAAAATTTGTAATAGTCATAGAAAATAGTCATAGAAAACAAACACAGGGACATATAATTTGGAAGGAAATAGTTCCAATGTTATTGTTGTTTTTGTTAGGAAATATATAGAGGAAATGGATAATGCCAAAATTATTGTTGGTGTTGGTTGTGTGTATGTGTTTGCCCTGCGTATAGTACAGAATTTTATAGCTAATGGAAATGTGCTCATATCTGATTCGTTTTTCCATTCTCAGTACACTTCTGATACTGTATCAAAATGCTCTAAAGCTCTTCTTGGTTCTGATTTTCATTTCATGCACCATTGTGGCAATACTGTGGCCATTGAAAACTATGATTTTATAACTGATTCATTTGGGAGTCAGTTTACTTATTTAGTTTGCAATGCTAGGGTTTTGCACACAGAGGGTGGGTGTCTGCCACTCCGGTAGATCCCAGTCTTCAGAGCTCTTCCTTAAACTTGGGCTCTGACATACAGCTGTAATCTCAGTACTCAGAAGGCTGAGACTAGCCCTGGTTAAATAGTGAGACTAGTTAAAAGTCAGTCAATTACTTTTTTTTTGCTTTGATAGTTACATCAGTAAGGGTTTGACACCTTTGATGATTGCTAGGTTAGTTGCAAGTATACCTCAGTAATATTTTCTGTCATGTCCATGGACTTTGTAGTGATCTTTGTCAATTTATAGGTGATTTTTAAAATTAATTTATACTACCCCTAAAGTATTTTATTATATTTTTCTTTTCACCACTTGCAGTTATCTAAATCACCATTTTGTCCCATTGTAGAAGTCAGTGTTAGTTTTGAATAGAGGGAAGAAAAGAAAGGGAACGCAATAGCTACCTTCTCCCTTATTGGCATTCCTCGGGAATGGTGCAGCCATTCATGGGCATTTGGTGAGCATCATCACTAGATGTAAATGAGGGTGGGCAGCTGATGAATTCAGTGGTGGGTCTAGGCTGTCTTCTTGGCAGTCATTGGGAATAATTGTGACATGTTGATGAGAAATAGTGATTAGTAAGTCAACTCATTTGAAATATGACACCTGAAATTCAGAGTTTTGATACCAGTAAATTAAAATTGCTTACTGGGGATTTATCAAAATAGTTTTCACACTTAATTGTTTTCTCTTAGAAACAGCCTATATTATTTTCTGTGTCCCATTACTTGCCTTTGTGTAATTACGAAACTGAAAATGGTATGTAGCACCTAAATCATCCAGCTGGAGGTTCGGTGAGACACATTGAGAAGCTGAATCCGCCTCCATTTTAACATATATGCTTGACAGTATTTTTTTTTTCTCTCAATAGTTCAAAATGAAATTATGGTCTGTGCCACAAACACAGATTATGTGAGAGACAGACTGAGGAAACCAGAAACCGCCAGAGAAGGCCAAGCCCCAGAGAAAGCCGTGGACGTGGAAGCTAGTGGACTCTCAGGCTCTCCAGTGTGTAGAACGGATCATGCTGCACCATCAGGACCAGATCAAAAAACGAATCAACCAAGCGTAGAAAAGACGAAGATGCAAGATGCAGCAATTCAGGCCAGCCCTGCCTGCAGCAGTTTTGATGGGAATCATGCAGACCATAATTTGTCTGACCTCAAGGTTGATGAGAGTGTGCAGACTTCAGCTAGCAGCAGATCAACCCAGCACTCGTCCTCAAGTCTCCAAGATTCTGTAAATGCCTCAAAGGCATCCAGGAGTCCCAGCACCCCAACACATGTCCCAGAGAGACTCCCCGTGAAAGAGGCAGCTTGTGCATCTGGGAACGATGGCCCTCTGTCTCCTGTAGACGGAAGTGACAAGATTCCAGCTGCTCTTTACCAAAAGAATTCTCCACTTTACAGACAGGACTACAGCCCCAAGCCAAAACCGTCAAATGAAATTACGAGAGAGTATATCCCTAAAATTGGAATGACAACGTACAAAATAGTGCCTCCCAAATCCCTGGAGATAGTGAAAGCCTGGGAATCGGAAACAGTGGAGGATAAAGATGGCCAAAAGATGCATGCAGTAGGGCAGAAGCATGTGCTTGAGAATACGAAAGAAACAGCCATGCAAACAGAAGAAGCCCTTGCTACTTCCAGAGGCTCCCAGGAGCCTCAACCTGACCTTAAACCAAAGCCCAGCCCAGGCACAGAGCGCCCTTTGCACAGGACTCTGAGCTCACCTACTGGTGCCGAGAACCCTCCGAAACCTCCCAGGGTGACTATGGACACTGGCGGCGTTCCGTTTGCACCAAATTTGGAAGACATAAACAACATTCTGGAGACAAAATTTCGAGCCCGAGCTTCAAATCCCCAGGCCAAACCAAGTTCGTTTTTTTTGCAGATGCAGAAGAGAGCATCAGGCCACTATGTGACTTCTGCAGCTGCTAAGAGTGTCCACACGGCTCCAGGGCCTACCCTCAAAGAACCAGCAACCAAAGAGGCGCAGAGAGACTCACGGCCCCCTCCAGAGCAAATTCTTTCTCCCTTAAGTGAAAGAACTCATTCTGCCCCGCTGCCCAATATTTCAAAAACTGATGGAATCATCCAGAAGCCTGCTGAGATATCTCTTCCTTCTGTAGCTCCCAAGCCTGTGGCTCCTCCTGCTGAGATCTCTCCTCCCCCTGTGGCTCCCAAGCCTGTGGCTCTTCCTCCTGAGACCACTCCGCCCCCTGTAGCCCCCAAACCTGTGGCTCTTCCTCCTGAGACCTCTCTTCCCCCTGTAGTCCCCAAGCCTGTGGCTCTTCCTCCTGAGACCTCTCTTCCCCCTGTAGCCCCCAAGCCTGTGGCTCTTCCTCCTGAGACCTCTCTTCCCCCTGTAGCCCCCAAGCCTGTGGCTCTTCCTCCTGAGACCTCTCTTCCCCCTGTAGCCCCCAAGCCTGTGGCTCTTCCTGGTGGTCAGGGGGCATCACTAAACCTGAAGACCTTGAAAACTTTCGGGGCCCCACGACCCTTCTCCAGCTCTGGCCCCTCACCCTTTGCCCTTGCTGTGGTGAAGCGGTCACAGTCGTTCAGTAAAGCGCGTCCAGAGTCACCCAATGAGGACTGCTCTGCCCAGCCTGCAGCTGACAGGGAGGGTGAAAAGACACACACAGTAAATAAACCTGCGGTGGTTCCCCAACACGATGATGTTGATAAGGTAAGCCTTAGCTTTTCCAATACAGATAATCAAATTCCAGTATGACTTGGTTAAAGTAAGGGACAGCCCGTTTTATACCAATACTTTGGTACATTTGTGTATTGCTTCACTTTGAACTAAGATCTTTGGGAACAGACTGGATGTACTTAAGAATCTGACTTTTATACTCTGAGAATTGCAATGCACTCATATAGGTAGAAGGTCATTGTTACGTAGCTGTTTCGTTAGCAAATATGTTAACATCTGATTATTCATATGCATGTATAATTGCTGAGTGTAGAGCACTGACTATTCTCCTGTGCTTTGCTATTTTTTTTAACTGTTTGGATATTATGATTTACTTTCTTTTTCATCCACTTTTATAGCAGTATGTAATAGCCAAGTAAGTAGTTTTAATTGAAACAAATGGTGTCAGAGACTGGAGGGGCCCAATGTGTCTCAGTTGTACATTGCCTGTCACATGTGTTAAACCTAAGCTTACCAAACATACCACAGGTAACTTAACTGAAAATGGAAGCGGCTTTAAAATGTAGTTTTCTTAATTATCCATTATGTTAGTTCCCATAGTATACATGTAGATCAGACTTCCATCCAACCATGGTAGTTTTAAAAAAAAAAGTTCCGTTGACCTGAATTAACAACTAAGCTTTCTGGGTCCCCATAAAATAATCTAAGGAGACTCTGAAATTCACAGTGTGATTCATGGTAATCCACAAGCAATCCTTAAAAACTACATCGTGTACTCTGCTCTGGTAGTGTGTAAAGAAGACTTCCATGTGTGTATGGCAGCTCCAGGAGCGCTTTCTACTGCTTTTTCAAACATTCCTAGACTAAAAGACCAGTGACCCTGATGCCAAGTAAATATTTTCTTTAATGCCGAGGCAGTATTTATCTTGAAGACTATTTCCTCATCCATTTGACATTTATGTTTACCGGTTTCATCCAGCATCAGGACGCATGTGCGATGGAGTGATGGGTTTTGGACTTGGAGGTAGAGCCTGCTTTTTCCCTGAAATGAATCACGTTCCTAAATGATAACAGCTTAATTTAATTGGTGCAGTTTTGAGACACTGCCTCAGCTTTATTGTTTAGTTCACGTAAAAAGTAAAGATAGGAATTTGACCGTTTGTAAAAGACATTTTTAAGATTGCTTGATATAACACTTCCAAGTTACAGCAGTTGCTAAATATTTGTTCTTAAGAGGGTTAATTGAATTTCTGAGTATTTAGTTTGGAAGTTCTAACATTTATTTTTAATCTAATGGGGGAAAACCCTAGTCAGTTCATGGTTCTTGTTGCTTCTAGAAACAAAATAAACTCAGGCAGTTAAGTGTAGTAGAGACATCACTATCCCCCTGTTAAATGGCACACTGGATTCTGAAGTATGAAATAGTTGGTATATTCAACAGCCTTGTACATTTTCCCGAATATGTTAGAACCTTGAAAATGGGTTGTTTTTCAGTTGGTGGAATTTTTTTTATCTTGAGTTTTGGCACTGGTAGCCAGTTCTGTGTTGCCGATATCAGTGTTCTTTGATTTACACACAGTAAAATTACCACTTTGTTCATGAAGCAAAAAAGAGGTAGCATTTTTCTTCCACAGCTTCCTCTGCTGAGAAAGGAAGGTACGGAGTTCATCTCCCCGCTGGGCTCCACCAACAGAGACAACTGAGTGAAGGGCGGAGATACAGACCTGTGTCTGTATCATTAACACAGCAAGTGTGGTTGTAAAAGGACTCTTGATAACACAGTTTGTAAAAACAGGCCTTTCTTCTCTTGGAATTCATAAAAAAAAATACCCTGCATTCATTTTTCGTAGAAAAATAAACCTGTACCGAACGAACAGAGTTCTCAAATGCTGACTCCAGCTGATGGCCCATCGTTCACCCTTAAGAGGCAGAGTTCTCTAACATTCCAAAGCTCTGACCCGGAGCAGGTTCGGCAGAGCTTGCTGACCGCAATCCGATCTGGAGAGGCTGCCTCCAAGTTAAAGAGAGTAAGTTTTCCCTAGCAGATGGTCAACAGCGGGTTTATTTTCACCTTGGTAAACGAATACTTGAGCGGGGGAGGGGGTCTTCTAACACTCAAATATGAATGGGAAAGATGCCAGAAATTATTCTTTTATCTTAGGAGTCATTTTTGAAGTATAAACGGAAGGATTTCAGAGTCTTCCCATACATAAAAGTGTGTCAGTTTCTTTCCCCAACTCTGTGGGCCAAGTTCAAAACATGACTGCATTCATTATTGTATATGTAGAAAGCTAACCTTGACTCTTATTTTAAGAAATTTTGTTAGCACCGTAAGAATCTCTTGAAATGCCCCCCCTTTTTTTTTCCAGAAAAGGTAGAGTTGTTTTACTAGTGGGAAGACTTATGTTCGCAGTCGTCTCTCAGTGGTCAAAGTAATTATTGTGTGTGACTTTTAAGGACAGTTACAAAAAGGGACCTTGGCTATAGTAAGTGGAGAGGAATCTAGAGAATGCATAGCAGAGCTCCCCCAGAGCCCATATTCAGAGTGCCCACCACACCATACGGTGCATTCTTGCTCAGCTATAGGAGAGAGAGCAATGGGGGCTCAATTCCTCTGGGCAGACCGTGAGCGTCACAGGAGGGTCTTGCCTCTCTCTTCACCTTCTTCCCCTGGGAGAGCGAGCACAGGACAGGATGACCGGCCGAGAAGCCCCTCAGCGTGGAAGTTCTGAGTCCACTGACTCAATTGGGGGTTTCATGTGTGACCAACCTTTGCCATGCAGAACTGTCCAGGGCAGTGTCTCTGCGTGCATGCCTGCATGCGTGCCTGTGTGCGCGTGCACATGTGTGCATACGTGTATGTCTTACTGTTATTCTAGAAGGGTTGGCACTTTCTCCTGGACAAGCACTGAGACAGAGCAAAACTGTAAGTGGTTTCAAGAATGATAGAAACATGAAGGAATAATTCAGAGGACTATGTATATTATATATAAGCACCAAGGCAGCGGAAAAGTCCATATAGATTTAAATATTGAAATTAATATGTTATCAGTCCTCATAAATTTCTTTGTCAAGGGGAAAATCTGCTAGTGTCAATAGGTAACCCATTCTCATTTATAAAATATTTTCTGTGCTTATCCAGGAAGTTACAGATGATCCTCCAAGCCAATTACCATCAATCTAATATTCCTAAATTCAGTAAATGTGAGGCACAAACATTTTTTTAGACATCGAGGGCAGTAAGGTGAATAAGTCAAGCCACTGCCTTCTTTTTAGCCTAGGCCTGAAAAGCAGCGTTGCATTTATCCACGGGAGAGCCTGGTGTCTACACAGTTATTAAATGCTTTAGGAGTGAGCAAGTGTATATACTCACCAGTTCCTGCGGACACATTGCAGAACGCTGTGCATTGGACGGCAGATGTGTTTCAGGCCAGCAGCAGGATACTTAACTGACAGATTCCTGGGCCTGATTTGGCAAGGCTTTCACATAGTAAACTCTCACAGCTTCCAGAAAGAGCTGGATCTAAACCAACAGAAAGGGGGCCTAAATGATGCGCCTGTAATTGTATCCTATTTAAAACTCATTACTTCAGATTCTATTGAGTAGAAAACTTTATCTCATTGAGTAGGAAGTTATTAACAGCTTGGAGCCTGGAGAGTGCCAACTCCTAAGATCTTTAATGAACATTTCATACATAATCTATTTTAGTTCACGGAAAGCGGTTAAATAAGGTAGTAATACACAGTCTCTCAACTCAGTGACCAGCGTTTCAGCTATAGTATCTATTTTTAAAAGTTATTTTTGTGTACTAAGACTTACATATAACCGCGCTCATGATGCATCTTTTGTAAAGTTCTAAATAAATACAACTCTAATTCTAAAAATAATACACAATAGTGTTTTTGAAGACTAGAGCGTCTTACTGGAACATTATTTTAGATGTTCTTTGATAGGTTCATGCATTTTTACACTGTATGTTGAGCCTGTTCCCCACCACTCCTGCTCATTCATTCCTCTGTCTGCCCGCCGTCTCTCAGCTTCATACCGTCTTCTAGACAGCTTTTGCCTTGCGCCTTTGAGACTTTCACGTGAGGTATTTTGGTTACATTCATTTCCTCACCCGATTCTTCCCAGATCTCCTTCTTGTCCCTTACCTAATTCTGCATCCTCTTTTCTTTCTTTCTTTCTTTCTTTCTTTCTTTCTTTCTTTCTTTCTTTCTTTCCTTCCTTCCTTCCTTCCTTCCTTCCTTCCTTCTTCCTTCCTTCCTTCCTTCCTTCCTTCCTTCCTCCCTTCCTTTCCCTCCCTCCCTCCCTCCCTCCTTCCTTCCTTCCTTCCTTCCTTCCTTCTTTTTTAACCCACCAAGTCCAGTTTGTGTTGCCCCAGTCTTCTCGGGGTGTTTGGCTAACTACAGATGTGTGGTTAACCCCCCACAGAGTCACACCCTTCAAACTGACTTTCCCATTGCCAGCAGATGTCAGTAGTCAGCGGCTCCTTAACTGAAAGTGGGGCCTCATGCAACCCGATGTGTCCAGAACAGTTCCCTTGTATTTGTCCACTACTTCTGACTCTTTGATTCTTTCAGCTTTCTCTTACCCAAGATCCCTGAACCGGGGAGGCGGAAGAGGGGTTGTGATATAGATGTCCCTTTTCTGGATGAGTATTTTGATTGTCTTCCATCTATACCTCTTGACCAGTCATGAGTCTCTATGAATTACCTGCCATCTACCGCAAAAAAGGAAGCTTCTTTCATCCTCACGAGAGACGCGCTAATCTAGGACTATAATGATAATCATCAGGAGTTGCTTTAATACTGTCTATGTAGCAGAATGATAGTGGCAGGTTTGTGCCTAGGGCCGCTTATGACCTGTCTAGCCAGAGGTTTGGGGGTTCCATGAAATGGTCCAGGTATGGGATTCACCTAAGGGAACAGGCTTTAAAACCAATCAGAAAGTGGGTGGTTACTCCGCAACACCCATTCCATTGTTGTACCATTGGGCATGCCTTGTAGCACATACGGACTCAACAGTGACTTTGGCAGTGTGTACAAGTCCACCACAAGCTCAGGCCAGACCCAATCTGAATATGGATAGGGGAGTTGGCACCATGATTACCTGTACCTTTGAACTTAAAATGCTCAGTTTAGTTCCAGGTATCAGCCTGACCATGGCTCTAGTTCCTGAAGAGCAGGGAGCCTTCACTGGAGTAGCTACCTTGCATTAGGACATTCCGTTCATTGTGTGATTGTGGCTGTGAACGTACAGTGATATTTTCATGCTTCTCTGGATTTTTTCCATACCTTACTCCCATCTACTTCACAGGTAGCCATGGAGACTAGTTTGCCTTCATACACAGCTTTAATTAGCCTAGCACAATATTTTAAAATTGTGTCCGGTGTTAGGATTTACCCATGAATCAGCAAATTGTTCATAGAGAAGGGAGTTAAATGTTGGTTGACTTTGACACAAGAACTTTGGCTGCTTTTGGTGCTTTGTGTTGTTCAAAAATTGCTGAAAGTCAGGCCATTACATCGTTATAAATAGAATATGGCTTTGAAAAAATAGAGTCTAAATTTGTGTTTTATACTTCATATTGTAGATTGCCTCAGAATGTAAAATTTCTCCTTGACTGGATGAATATATGGAAGGAACAGGAAGTCTTTCACAGGCTCATTAACTTGTTGTTTAATTGCTTGCCTTTTACTCTTATTTTTTGTTGCTTGATTTGAAACAAAGGATCACAGACAGGTTGACAGTTTTCTCTAAATGCGTTCTGTGTAAAAAAAAAAAATAGGTAGTGTTGTGTTTCATAGCCACAGTTCAAATTTTGTGATTATTCATAAGAATTTCTTCAAGCATCAAGGACATAAAATCAAGAGACTCATCTGTGAGTTCTTAAACATTAGTTTTTAAAAAGTGACCTTACTGCCAATCTGGAGACCTTTTTACAGAAGGATTTTGAGAACTGTAATTATAGCATGAATGACAAAGGCAATTTTCTCATGCAGAAAAGCTTCAGAATTAAAACTCGGCAGTGAGAAGTCATTACTGTGGCTTTGTATACTGGAAAGTAGCCAGGTGACTAGACGACTGAGTGGGCTTAGGGGAGCCACCTTGCTTTGGCAGTAGCTCTCCTTAGTGGTCATTTCAGGTGTGTGACTTCATCTGCTGAGGTTCATCTTAGTTGATTAAGCCCCCCCCCCCCAGAAATTCATTACCACGGAGAACCAAATCTTCATTTAGTATGAAGCAGGAACCAAAGTGCAAACAAAAACATATTCTGTCTCTCCTTTGCTCTCCCCACAGGATCTGTGGCCGTTCCTCTGTCCATTCTTTCTTATTCAAAGATAGCAATTCCTGTTTGTAAATCCTCGCTGCTCAAATTGCAATGTAGAGAATGATTTTTTTGTAATATTTTATTGTATTTTACATGTGACGTATGTATTTACTAGTCATGATCCATATTTTTTTAATGTTCTCTAAGTCTTTTTAAAAAGACCTTAGAATTCAAAGACATTTGGAAAACTTTTTTTTTTTTTTTTTGTGGGGCGGGAGAAGGGTCTCACTCTCTATGTCAGAGGCCTAGAGCTCTTCTGTCTCAGTGTAGTAGGAAGGCTGTTTGTTTGTTCCTAGCTGCCCAGACCCGAAATAATCACACAGAAGCTGTATTATTTACAACACTGCTTATCCTAGTAGCTTATGCATATTGCTAGCTCACTCTTAGATCTTAACCCAATTCTATTACTTTATATTTAACTAGGAGGCATGTGGCCTACTGGCAAGGTTCCAGCTGGGGGCTTGTGTCTTTCTCCTCTGGCGGCTACATGGCTTCTCCCTGACTCTGCCTATTCTCTCTATATATCTTTTTCAGTCTGACTAGATTCTGTTAAGCTATTGACCAAAAGCAGCTTCTTTATTTATTAACCATTAAAAGCAGCGCATATACAGAAGGACTTCCCACACCACATCCGTGTCCCAAGTGCTGGGATGGCTGTGTCTACCGTCCTGCTTGATTGTCTTGAATGATTGCTGTTTTTTTTTTTTTCTCCAGTGCTTTGCAAATAGAACGCTCAGGCATTGAGTTTTGAAGGTGGATTGAAGCTCCCTGTAAACCCCTCCATCATTCCTTTGTTCTAGGTATAATAGTCATGGGCTTGACTGTTGGCTGTAGCCCTTACCATGAAAAAATTCTTAAAGACCCAGTTTTGGTGGCGGACGCTTTTGTTTTTAAATATATAGAGAATTGGTAAGAGAAGGATTTCAAACGACTTTCTGGTAATTGGTACAAAATTGTTAAATTTTGCAAAATCCAAATTTTTTTTTCCTCATTTTTTTTTTTTTTCAAAGCACTTCTGAGAAGCCAGGATTCATCTAGCTAAAACTGCACCGTGACAGCTTGGCCTGCAGTCTGTTTGTGCTCTTGTCTTTCATGTTGGCTTGGTAATTTTATAAAGACGAAGATATGTTGATGGGTTATTTAACTTGTTTGTTGTGGAAATAGCAAGTCTCTCATTTTCCGTTTCACGAGAGAGTGGGCATTTATTCTTAATTATTTGTAAATCATTGAGTGATAAATACTGAATGCTAACATTTTCAGTTAGGCAGAAGTTATAATGTGATCATTGTTCAAAATTAGACAGCTGTCCCATTTTACAAAAACTGATGGGAAAAAAAATGTGTTTCTTCCTCTTAGGTTACTGTGCCGTCCAATACAATAGCTGTGAATGGGAAGTCAGGACTCAGCCATGCCGTGTCCTCTGATGCCCAGGACAGTCGCTAACATTGCCCTGCTGCAACACACTTCACTGACCAGCTTTCTTCCTACAAGGGATATCAGAAGATGTATATTCAGATGTACATTAATATATAAATCTGTTCAAGAATAAGCATTTGTGTTATGGATTTAATGCCAAAAGAAACATGGCTAGAATTTATAATTTATAATATTGTTTGGTCTTTTTTGTCATAACTAGGTAGTGCTGCTTTAGAAACTAAACAAGGTGTAAATGACTTGTTTTTTTCCCCCCACTGCTGAATAGTCACAGCTTAGTGATTTTCTTTCTTTTATTTATGGACATACTGTGTACCATGAAACACAGGTGTACATTGAGATTTATGGACATATTGTATGACAGAAACAGACAAGCACAGACTAACATTTACTGCCTCAGTGTTAGACTTTAATTAGAAGTAAATTATAATAAAGCCTTTTGGCTGAAAGATATCGAAAACTAGTAAATCAAATAAATAATGTTCAATTATTTTTATTGAAGGACCACTTCGTGTGAGACTTATTTTATGCATTCTTTAATTACAAGTGAGTGACAGATCTATAGGAAATAATAATATTACTTTTTAAGTATATCACTTTAACCTTTAGTAGTTAAATTGCACAAGGATATTTTAAGATGCTTTCTGTATATAATTATGATGGTGTTGCACAGATATTACATATTTTCTAATGCCAGAAGTCTTAAAATATTCCTATTAAAACGTTGATATATTATGGCAGATATTTCCCGTTTGGTATATCGGGATAATAGGGGCTAGTTTATGTCCACATTCAGAACTTTAAAGACTAGTTAGAAGTTTACAAGATGTTGATTTAATTAAAATAAAATGCTGTATTAGTCATTTATGAAGCTCAGATGCTAATTGTCTAAATAATAATATATATTTTCCTGAAAGCCAGACTGGTTAAGGGGAACAATACTTGATATGTACTTGGCTTATAGTGATCCTAGAGTCTAGAACACATTGGTGTTCTGAATTTCCTTAAGAATTTAATTGATCATTTATTCCAGAGACTGTTCAAACAGCCTGACACTGTTTTGAATCTTACTAAAGATACTGGGATGTCTGCCATTTTGACAAATATGAGTTCTTTTTCCATTTAATAAAAGCAAGTTATATATTTGAAGTCTGTTGTTTCCAGTGTGGTTTGTGTTAACTAGCATATTTGAATAACTTATATGAAGAAAATGAATTTTTTGAGATTTTATGTGTATGGGTGTTTCGCCTGCATGTCCACCTGTGCACCGTGTGTGTGTGTGTGTGTGTGTGTGTGTGTGTGTGTGTGTGTGTGTGCGCGTGTGCACGCACGCGCGTGCTTGCATGCGTGCATGTGTGTGTGCGTGGAGTGCCTGTGGAGGCCAAAGGAAGACAGTTGTGAGCGGCTAGGTGGGTTCTAGGACTTGAATCTGAGTCCATAGCAAGAGCAGCCAGTGCTCTTAACTGCTGGGCCATCTCTCCAGCCCTGATGAACATGTTTCTATCAACCATTAGCATGCACACAATAGCACTGCTTTCCATTCATCGGGCTTCCCAGGGAATAGTGACGCCATGATATTCTGACGCCATCACCGAAAATACGTAGGCTGGTTCCTGCTGCTGCTGTTCCTTGTTTGACACCCAAGAGTGAGAACCTTCTACACAGATAGTTAGGTTCTATCATTTTAAACCAGTAGAGGAAAGAGCAGGCATTTGAAAATGAATGTTTGGACAATTGTCTACTTGAGGAAAAGCATTTTTTTTTTACTTCAAACTATATCATTAATGTATTTGTGTCCGATTGAAGGTTTTCAAAGTAACATCTGAAAAACTTTGGGCGTAATTGGTGCTTTCAGACTGTAGCATGTGAAAATTTGTTTAAAATATATGATGCTGTCATAAACGGTATGATGAATCTCCAACCTTTAAGATGTGAAATGTAAGTACCAAGAAGGCAAATAAGGCACATGGAGCAATGTGTTTTAGATATGTAAAGGGGTTAATTTGTTAGCAAGATTAGGGAATGTAAAAGGCTAGCAAACATGGCAATTTTTCACTGTTAATCAGAGAAATAGTAGACAGTAAGTAGGAAATACGTAGGTTACCATCTCAGCAAAGCTTGTAAAGACCAAAGTAGTAAACATCCAAAACAAGGAGCAACCATGGGGCGACGTCTGACTATTGCTACGAAACGTGCTGCAAATCAGAGGTCCCTTGCTTATACCCTCAGAATTATCCAACATGTAAAGGAGACATCAGCAAGATGTGACAGCCGTGTGTGTATCCTTGTCAGTGTTCCACGCTGGGATATATTCATCATCGATTCATATACAGTCCTCAATCAAGCTAGAGTCCTGGGTTAGCGCAGATACAGCAAAAAATAACAAGTGAGAAAAGCAAGTTGTAGAACAGGATGGGTTTCATGGTAACAGTTACTGAGAGTATAAACCCTAATAAATGACTCTGTGCATGATAGCTGAACATGTAGAACAAAATTAAAATATCCTCCCATGCTGCTAGTGGTTGATGAGTTACAGGAACCGAATGGGGAAAGCCAGTGGGAATTGTGGGAGCCATCAGTTGTGTTGCCGTGTCTTATAGTAGAACCTGTTGTTGGAGAGCAAGGACTTCTTCCACCGCAGGTTTTAATCTAAAGAAAGTAGTTCTAGTCTTTTTATAGGTTGCATGGGTTGGGAGATGTGCAGTCTATGAGTCGTTAATTGAGGATTTTGAAAAGTCTTGCCCACGCTGCTCTAGAATTGTGTCACCTCCTCTCAACTGAGAAGTCTGTGACAAATTGTTCCCCCCCCCCCATTTCCTCAAGATGATAATGAGAATACAAGATAGGAATGACAGAGAAGCACCTTCAGATTCTCAATGTTGAATGTTGAAGAGCTATATAATGCTAAATCACTAGGCATTTCACCCTGATGGATTCTTTACAACATTTTAAGATTATAACTTGGATATAAGATTTTTATTAGTAATGTCTTGGGTCCCCGTTATTTCTCTGCCGTTCGTGCACACAGTTGGCCCATGACTTGGCAGGCGTTCTCTGTACAGATACCAGACCCATTATTACACCTGTGGAAGTATCTGGTTTTCTGACTAATACTAAGACAGAGGTGACATTGTACTGGCTCTGAGACATCGCTAACGTTGGTATATTTTGGTCACTGGACCTATGCTTGAGGTACTGCCCTGAGAGATCTAGGGTGGTCCTAATGGAAGGATCAAGGGCAGGGAGAAAGCAGAAGTGACTGCTAAGTCTGGCTCTCTGGCATGTGCCAGCCCACTCCAGACCAATGACATCACAGAGCGTCACCCAGCAGGACACTGAGCTGCTTCATAAGATCTTTGGTGTGGTAGGAGATGAAATGCACCATTTCAAACATGATCCGGTGACTGGAACCGTGTTCGTGGATGCATTCGGTCTGTTCTCCAGTCTCTTCAAAGGCTCTTCAAACTTATTTTATACGTTGACAAATAAAATACAAGATGTCCATGTCAATTTACATCTCTGATAAATGTCCTCCACTATGAGTAGTTCTGTGTAGTATCGGGGACACATGTCTTAATTCTTATCTGAAATTCCATTTTCACTGGCCATCCTGTATTTGACTTTGCCAAGTTGGTCAATACTATTATTTCTTTGGAAATATGGGAAGAGTGAGAAGCAGCAAGAGGTAAGGGGTCAACTAAAGAAAGCAGAGGACACAGCAGGTCGTGGCCCACCTGAAGCAAAGCACAAGCTTCCATTAGCATAAAAGAGTTCAGCCTGTGAGGTACAGGATAGCTCCCCACCAAAGGAATCCCCGCATCATGAATAGGGAAATGTTCACTGATGAATTCACAGTGAAGAGAACACTTGAGTGACTGTCGAGAGGTTGTAGATAGCTACGAGCCAAGAGCAAATCATAAATTCTGCTAATGTCCCCATTATCTTCAGAATTGTTATGATATGGCTATTACTAAATGTATGTGGTGGCATGGAGCTATGCCTGAATGATTTCGAACTATTCACTATACTTGAAGTTATTCATAATAAAGTCAGTGGATGAGTTATTGAGCCCCACTTCTTTAAGAGAGGATGTGTCGTACAATCGTGTTATGCCACTGTGAATGTATTAAGGCTATCGTGGTGAAAGAGTTCCCAATGCAAAGGGTGAGTTCAGAAACAAACAAGCCTGATCTCGTTATTCTTTTTGCCAACTTGGCACAGACTAGGGACATCTGGAAAGGGGGAACTTCAGTTGAGACAGCGCCCCCAGCAGACTGGCCTGAAAACAAGAGACTGCAGGGGCGTTTTCTTGATTTGACAACTGATGTGGGAACACACACCCCACTATGAGGAAAGTTATGCCTGGGCAGGTCTGGGCTGTATAAAGAACGTGGTGGAACCTGGGCCTGAGAGCGAGCCAATAAGTAGCATTCCTCTGTGATCTCCAGTTCCTGTCTCCAGGTTCCTTCCTTGGTCTCCTGCCCTGGCTTTTCTTGATAATGGATCCTAAACTGTGATATGTAATAAACTCCTTCCCGAAGTTGTTCTTGGCCATCAAGTTTAGCACAGCAAACTAAACTAGGGCAGTCCCCTGGCTCACGTGATCACTTACTCTTCTGCATTCCCTACTGGAATGACACAAAGACCCGCACCTACTGCGTGCCGGTGCCACGTTCCTTTCTATCTCGTTTTCCAGAACAGTGAGCCAGGTTAGCTTACTTTATTTCAATTTTAAAATTGTTTATCTTTAAACCCAGCATGCAAGATATTATGCTATCAGGTATTTTTTTCAACTAATTTAGCTTTATTCTTTATAAAGTATCTAGTCTTTGATATTTCTGCTACAGTAGCAGACAATAAACTATGACGTCAACATTTCTCAGTCACCCCATATGCTACGCTTTCAAAGCGTGGGTGGCTGAAAACTTGTAGTAGATATTGTGCTACATCCTTAATGAGTATGAATCCAGTCGTTCCTATAAATGTGCTCCATACTTTGAAGCGATGGTTCTCAACCTTCCTAATGCTGTGATGATTTAATACAGTTCCTCATGTGTGCTGACCCCCATCCACAAAATTATTCCATTCCTACTTCATAACTGCAGTTTTGCTACTGTTACGAATCATAGTGTAAATATCTGATGTGCGGCCCCTGTGAAAGAGCTATTCGACCCCTATAGGGGTTGAGACCCACAGACTGAAAACCACTGCTTATAAGAAGTGTGGCCGTGACCTCAAGGAGTTCGGAAGCATTTTCAGAGAGGAGGCGCAGAGGCAGAAATGTGGAGTAACAGTTTTATGTTGCAGGAGATATTCCATAAGAACCCTTAATGGCTCACAGTCGCTAGGAAGACATTAGGATAGATGGATAGAAGCCAGTGGTGTGGCTATGGGAAGGAAGGTATTGAATCTGAGAGTGTGAGTCAAGCCTGGGGATGGTGTACAGAGTGAGTTTCACTAACACAGTGCACACTGTCCTGGGGTGGGATATTAGCTGGTGTATTTGGAAAGCGCACACACTGACCACTTTCATTCTCCTAGGAACATGACAGGTGATTAGGAAACAGAGATGGCTAACACATGATTCTAGCAATCGAAAAGGACTTAGATAGTTCATGAAACGGGATCATGAAAGAAAGTTGCACTGGCAATACAACTTGCCCACCTTCTCATAGCTTGTCTCTTTCTCTTTGGTATTTGGAAGAGGTTTATATATTCTTAATGCTAGCCCATTATTAGGTATATGACTTTTAAATATTTTCTTCATATTTATACCTTCTTATATCAAAATTTTAGGTAACTCAAATTACAGTAACTGGAAATATCAATATATTCTTTCACGATTAAGGTTTTTTTTTTTTAATTGTCTTTAAAAGATTCTTCAGCACTCTTGGGTCAGAAAGGGCATTTGATCACATTTAATTCTGACAATTTTTAGATTTTCTATCTTAAAATTAAGGTCTGATGCCTGCAGTCTAAGATAGAAATCCATTTTCTTTATCTCTAGATGAAAAACCATTTCTGAAACTCTGACGTTTAAATAGCCATGATTCTCTTCAGAGATCAGAATGGCGCTTCTGTCATGGGTGATAGTCCCTAAATGTGTGCCTCTTTGGGAATTCATTTAATCTGTTCCATTGATTAAGATA